CAATGTACTTATGCTATCTAACTGCCAAATGATAAAACAAAAACATAATGTGTTTAAGCACATATTTAAAGTGGACTAAATGAGTTAAGCCTTTTCAACTGATTTTTTATAGTTTGTTCTTATGTTGTACTGTAACACAACTGTCCCAGGTTAGGGGGAGGGTTTGGTGCCAGCAAACATGTTTAACCCCGCCACATTCTGTATACGCCTGTCCCAAGTCAGGAGCCTGTTATTCAGTGGTTGTCGTTTGTTACTGTATATCATATTTGTTTTTTGTTTATTGTTTTGTAAATGTATATACATCAGGCCGCTAGTTTTCTCTATTGAATTAATTTATATTTGTTAAGTCGGGCCTATTAAAGCTTACTATGTCTTATGGGTTTTGCTCATTGTTGAAGGCCGTACAATGACCTATAGTTGTTTACTTGAACGTAAGTTGGTCTCTTGTGGAATTATTAGCAATTATACCATATTTTCTTAAATATATATGAAGCATTAAAACCACTTTTCATCGCCCTATTGCTTTCTATGTTAAATTATGCAATTTCAAGCATTAATAGCTATTTTCTCTTAAGTTTAGATAAACTGGAAGTTATTGCATAACAAAACTATACCTTATCCTGACTTGTGCTGAAAAATTCAACATACTTTTAATTCCATATTTTAGCGCACTTGTTCCCGTAAGTTGGATAGTACAAAAACCGGTACTTCCGATCTGAGCAACAGGGTAAATATGCCCTCCTATCATAATTTATATAGATATTTTTTTATTATTCAAGAGAAACTTTTATCAATGGTTCTTCAGTGGTCGCAAGTCCTTTAACTTTCATTTGATGCCATTCAGCCTAAATGATTTAGTTTTTGTGAAATTTACAGCTGTGCGTAGGAACTATTTTGTTTAAAATATGTACTACATTCTTGTTTGTATGTTCTTTGTGACCATGCCCAAATAAGGGGTTCTATACACTAAGAGTACGTATCCTTGAATAAAAGAAGACTGGGTTATTTGTCAATTTAACAAAACCAAAGGATTTCTAATTAAGAAATAATTCTTTCATGCCATACTCTATGCTCATTTTAACATGGGTAGGCATTATATTTGTCAATATCTTAATACCGAGTGTTAGCGAGGTATTAAATGTTGACAAATATAATGCCTACCCATGTTAAAATTAGCATAGAACATGGCATGATAGAATTATTTCGATTCTAATAGGAAAATATTGAAATTTTGTACTTCGAAGCGGACCTATAATACATGCTTGAAAGGCAGCCATTTTGATTTGATGAACCAAAAACGTTATAGAAAATCAACAGTTTAACGATAAAAAATGAACAGATACATTTAAACTTACTTTTAGACTGATTTTATTTATTTTCCTAGTGAGCAACTCTAACACAAATGTCCATTTTGATCTCCGGCGTTGTTCAAAATTCAACTGACGTTGCAATTTCAATTGTGACGTCAATCACGTGCAGCCCATGTTTTATTGGAATTAGAACATGGCTTTGTATCCAAAGCCAAAGAAGAACGTCATATTAGAATTTGCTTTCTTTTCAAACTCTCTTGTTTTTATATCTGTTTTATTTAATGAATAAAGTACAGCAACAACGACGACGGTGATTCTACATCATTGCTTATTGTTGACAAGATTTTGACAATTTGATACAATTAACACAACACAACAAGTTTCGATTTTTGAAACCAACCTGTGCGGGTAGTACTCAGACTATTTAATGTGGTACATAACACTACAGGGAGATAACTCTGTAAAAATATGCTGAACGTTTTAATCACGTTCTTTTGTTAAGGAAATATTAAGCTTCTCAATGATCAAAATTAGTGTTATATCCAAGAAATTTTTCCGATAAAGAGTGTGGTTCAAGTTTTTTGAAATTTTTATATTTATGTCAAAGGGTCAAAGTAAATATGAAATTTAAACGAGCCAAATTAATTTTAAATAAGGTGTTTGATACCACCTTAAACGTAAAATTATTACATCAATATATAATCAGATGCCTCGTATAAATGGGCTCTATGCTATTTATAACTTTTAATACCCAAAACAAGTTAAATCGCCAAGTATTATTTTCTGCAAAAAGCAAACAAAACATAAATTTAATTGTTTAGATTCACAACGAAAATAAACCTGGACGATTAATGCTGATTTAATCAACTTAAGCGAATCATATGATTTCGTTTTATTTTTGTATTTTTTTATATTACTATTATTTAATTTCAGATATACTGACACATTTATTTTATTCTTCGAGAAAACCAATTGCACATACATTGCCATGACTGATCTTAAAAGAATATATATTAGATGATTAATCGTTATCTGCATGATACATACAAAAAATGGAGTTAATTTTGAAACGTAGATAAAAGGAAAGACAAAAATAATATTAATATTTCTAAAAACATTTTAATGTAAGAGTTAAGATTTATTTTATGTAAGAGTTAAGATTTAAGAAGATAACATTTTGTCTTTGACGACCGACATATCCATGCATATTACTGTTTGAAGATACTTTCAATGATTAATTTAAAAAATAATCATTTTGATATCTGATAAGTTGCCACTTTATCAACTAAAAACCATTAACCTTTTTAAGAATGTGATATGTTTTCTTAACGCAGATGACGTCATTACAGTAACTGCTTCCTCGTTTTTTGTTTATTTTCACGTGCAATTTTGTTACTATTTAAGAGACCAAAGTTATGGGTTCAGTAACAGTAGTTCACATCTTATGTACCAGAAATTGTGGTTATTAACACAATACAAATCTAAATAGATTGCCAGGGAACTATAAAAACTTTGTCACGACGTGATTTACAAGGAACTTTCTCCTTTACGGATACTGGATTAAGCGCTTGTAGTATTTTTTTGTGAGAAGCACACTTTCAAAGTTCGATCGGCATTTCATAATCTGCATTAAGCTTTCTGGAAAATTTTTCAAAAGCATACAAACAAGCCAAATAACATTGGTTAACAAAGAAAAGCATAAAAATTCCACACCTGGCGTGACGTCATTTTCATTTTTTTTTGTGTACGACTCAAATAGTGTATATTCTGAATCAGTCAATCTACATTTGTAAGTAACCTGAAGCTCATTTACCTATATTGGAGTAAATCATACTGCTGCCTTTCAAAATGTTAAGACCTTTTAAATGTTATGAAATCGAGATATTGTTCTCAAAAAATTCTTTTAGTGTTTGTCAACGTCAGACAAACGTTGACAATGCAGAAAATCAAAGTCATTATGGAACTACGCGGGAAAAACAAACCATATGTCGCCGTTCTTGGCCTCAATTAATGTTCTCCGTTCTTACCTTTCATAACTGAAGTGCAGAAATAATACGATAAACAGGAATAAGCTATCAAGTCTGTCGTTTTCTTTTATCTGTAATTACGTTAACTCTCAAAGAAACCAGACAATTCGTGACATCATGTCAAACTTGACATCTGTTCCACAGGATATTAATTTCAAGACGAAGTACAGAATAGTCACTGTGACAACACTAATTTACTATAATAAAAAGATGAGTCGAGCTTAATTGAAAATTTTACAACTGTAGTACTATTGTTTACAAAATTTGCAGTCGGCGCTAGCTAGGGAACAATGTTAAAAGAGCAATGTCCGGAAAAATACTTTACGGAAGCTAAGAATATCGAATTATGAGGAAGCTTTCATAATAACATAGACAGCAAGATGATACCTCAAGGACAATAATCAAGTAAAGAAGGATAGACAGTGCCTTGTTTAAGAGCATAAAAACGAAAAAAAACAACCAGTAGTATACAAAACAATACACAGAAAACTTAAGATTGACAACAAAAGTTGGTAAGGGGGAGGTAGGGTTAATTTCAGATGCCCTGAAGGGCTATCAAAACTTTGACATATATTAAAAGGTAAAAATATTTAGATTCAAAATCGTGATGAAAATGACTACCTTGATGCCACCTAAGAAAAACGATTAAGTTTTATAAGAAGCTTTCTAAAAAGGATAGGTACACGTATCCCTCACAGGATCATATGTTAAACGATACTCCATGATGGTGGCTATTAGGTTTCAGATCTATACCAAATTATATATTTTAGAAAAGAGGGTCATGTCAACTCTCGTGCAAAATATTAATAGAGTCTGTGAATATGACTGCATGTTTACAAACCTTGTCAAGAACAAGATACTTCTACAAATAGATATAAGAAGATGTGGTATGAGTGCCAATGAGACAACTCTCCATCCAAGTCAAAATTTATAAAAGTAAACCATTATAGGTCAAATTACGGTCTTCAACACGGAGCATTGGCTCACACCGAACAGCAAGCTATAAAGGGCCCCACAAATAACTAGTGTAAAACCATTCAAACGGGAAAACCAACGGTCTAATCTATTATATAAAAAAACGAGAAACGAGAAACACTTATGAAGTATGATTTTGTTTCAATGCAAACTATCATTATATAGGCGTCAATTTAGGAAAGAGGACTACTTATTTATCAGTCATGCACAATATTTATCCGGTGTTTAAGTTCGTTCCAAAAAAAAGAAGCTGTTATTTGCATTTCCGATAAGGTGCAGGTTGGAATATATTCCATAGTTGTGGTTGCCTTCAAATTCAAGTTAAGAATAAGTTTCATATTTGAGTTGCGACCATCTGGTCACTAGTGGAAGAGGATCTGCTAACCTTTCAAGATAACCCCATGGCGGGGTTCGTATTATTTAGTCTTCTGTTATTGCGAACTGTTTATTTTGTCGTCTCTCTTTTTATACCATGACGTTGTCAGTTTTTGTTTGACTGACGAGTTTTTAATGATTACTTGACATTTTTCGCTTCTTTTTTTGTCATTATTATTACATAATATCAATCTATAATAAATCTTTCACAGCAGAATTATCTGAATTTATTTATTATGTATATTTGTGCAGTATAAACTAGGAATTTACAACCTACTGCAAAAGTATATCATTTTTATTTTTTTATTTTCAGTGCCTGTAAATTATAATGTATGCATTTCTCAGGAGTGTATAAAGACAGGTATGTACGAATACAGCCGTACAACTAGACAAAAGTATTGGTCAAACGAACGTATAAGTAAACAGTGACCTTGGAACCTCTTAAAACCTGATCACATATTTACGGAGAACCTACAAGTAGGAGAAAAAAACTGTTCACATTTTTCACAACCTCACGTCTTTTATAATTGATGCATAAGTAAAAAAGTTCTTTTAACTCCTATTTACTATTTTATATGTATAGAATAGAGATTGGAAATAAGGAATGCGTCAAGGAGACACAACCCGACAAAAGAGCAGAATCCAAAAGCCACCAAGTGGTCCTCAACACATTGATGAAATTCCGCACCCGGAGGCGGGCTTCAGCTGTTCCCTCAACACTAGGGTATACTAGTTCATCCAAATGAACACCACATTATACTCCGAAATATACAAATGAACTAAAATTTAAAACTTTTTAGACTAACAAAGACTTGAGGTTCCTTACTTGGGACAAGTGCAAACATGCGGCGGGGTTAAAAATGTTTTGTGAGATCTCAACCCTCCAACCATACCTCTGGCCAATAGGGAATAAACAAACACACGGATATACGCACAGTAAAACTCAGTTATACATACGTAGAAAAATTATTTAACTCCAATTGCATGATATATAGATTTCCAGCCAATTTATTTTCGACAACAAAATGATGATTGTCTAATAATAAACATGTGTATCAAAGAAAGAAAAGAGGGCGGAGATGTATTCTGTAGGAAAGGTTGGAATATGTTTCATAGAAAAGACAGAACAGCCGGAATTATATTCTGTAGAAAAGGTTGGAATGTATTCAATAGAAAAGAAAGAAAGGCGGAAATGTTATCTTTAGAAAAGGGGGAAATGTATTCCGAAGAAAGATTGACATTTATGTATTCTATTGAAAAGGAATAAAGAGCGGAAATGTATTCTATATAACTCTTCGATTACCTCCGGAGATTCTAATTATCATTACTACATGTAGGAGGAACAAATAAAAAAAAAAAGATAGAAAAATAAATAAAAATATTCTCTAGCTCAATGGTCGGTATTGTAATTCAATATGCTACGTGTTAATGCTAATCCATTAAAAGGAAATTATTATAAATAGAACAATTTTGGTTTTGTGTCGTCGGTTAGCTGTCACATATTATTATAAAGTAGATTTTTAAAATTTATATTTTATTTATGTCTGAACATTTTCTTGGACAGCTGTATTCTTATATGACAAACGTTGCTTTCAAAGCAACATACTAGAAAAAAAAAGGATTTTGATCCATGATACAAAATCAATACATGCATAGCAACAACAAAAAAAAAAACAAAAACAAAAACAAAAAACAAAAAAAAAACAACACAAAAGCCAAAGGAACAGCGCTTTTATTGCTGTTCTTCATCTCTCAGTGAGGCCTTCAACACACAGCAAACACATACCTATTTGTGCTGACGTGGTTAAACCACCGTTTATGAATAAATCATTACATAAATAGATTAATGAATGCTTTACGACGCATCAGCGCAAAAAGGCTATATAGCGGCGAGATAATAATAAACTATTAAAAAAAAGAAAAAAACAACTGTAGGCTAATATAGATACGTAAGTACTGCTACTGACTTGGTAGATATATACTTTTCAGCTACTTTATTAATGGATGCTATGGATACATCAGTTGATCCTTGTGCGGACTTTTTCCAGTACGCATGCGGAAGTTGGAACAAAAAGCATATAATACCAGAAGACAAATCGAGTTTTAATACATTTGAAAAAATGCTGGATGATTTACAGATACAACTAAAAGGTAAACACATATTGTGTTTAATGTTTATTGTTTTATTTATTATTAAATTTAGTTTTAAGATGCTTTACACCTGTTTTTTTTTTTTAAATAAATATTTATTGGTAGCCATTGCACGTAGGAAGGTCAATAACCTCATTAATACAGGATCTGACAAACTGGTTTCATGAAACTTGGTATGCACATATTGATTTTGATTTTGTGGACTAAATTCTCTAATAGTAGTCTCAGGTCATTTGAACAGATAAATGATAAACTTTTCCCACATTTTACTCGGTCCCTAATTTATAGTGACTTTGAATAAAACATTCTTATAATATATCATACTTCAATAATAATCTTGAGATTTATAATCGGAAAAAATGACTTATAGCTGTTGGTATGGATACATACCGTAATATATAAATTAAAATGATAGTTTCAAGGGTGTGAAAACCTATATGATGCCTCCTGTTGTTCAAATAGTTTTTGGTACATGTATATATCTTACAATTTTGTAAATAAGAGAAGAAAAGCATCGTAACAACTTGATTCATTTACACTGTGAAATCATTTTAAAAAAATTAATCTTATATATACAAGATTTATGCTTGTGTCTGTAATTAGTTAAGTGCTGAATTTTAGTTTATCTGTGTGTGTGGTAGGGAGGGGGGGTATCACATTTTGACACTTTGAAATTTGTTTGTGACTCGTTCGATTCAAAACTCCTCAGTCTTTTATCATTAGTTTCTAAAGTTATTGTAATATGATAAAGGTTTGAACTGTATTTGAACACACGCAACGTCTGCCAAACTAACATTAAAACAAAGAAAAGGTGATCGAAAGGTGATATCTGGAACCTTTTATATCATTTCCTATGGTTTTCTGATGTAAGTGTAGTTTGGAGATTAAAAGAGAAATATTTAACAAAATCAGTTTGCAAGTTAACATATGGCTTGCTGATGGATTACGTAATGCATTGTACAAACATTAAACAGAATGATATACACCTGTTAATTGTTAAACAGTAGTTTATTGATGTTGAAAGCTAGAGAATCCATGTTGAATATACAATCAAGATAAAAAAACAAAAACTGAGGAAATCGTAACTCCAAACGGAGCGAGGACGAGTGAGTCGACATGGTAAGCGTCGCCTTCATGCTTCACAGCCACGTCATAATCTACCCTCTGTACATACACATGCCATAACATGAGGGACTAGGACACAATCGGTATATCTACAAACTAGGGGCCTACTTATTGATACCCTCCTAAGATCTTTCGAAGACAGGATTTAGGATAATGGTAGTACTGTTCTATGACATGTATAAGAGAGGGACGAAAGATACCAGAGGGACAGTCAAACTCATAGATCAAAAACAAACTGACAACGCTATGGCCAAAAAAAAAAGGCAAATAGACAAATAATAGTACAGATGACACAACATAAAAAACCAAAGACTAAGCAACACGAACCCCACCAAAAACTGGGGGTGATCTCAGGTGCTTCGGAAGGGTAAGCAGATCCTGCTCCACATGTGGCACCCGTCGTGTTGCTTATGTTATTACAAATCAGGTAAATAGTCTAATTCGGTAAGTCACATTCGTGAAAAGGGAGGATATTGTAGTTACGACATAAGGAACATATCCGATATCATCTGTGAAACGGTTATTCCATAACGGTCAACCAACTCGTGATGGCGTCCGTAAAATTTACGAAGGGATGACTTCAACTTCACCATTTGGAACTCTTGGTTTAATAGCTTCCTTGTGAGCAGCAATCCTCTATCAAGGAAATCATGATAGGAAACACAAACCCGGGAATATCGTATCAATTGGGAGATATATACTCCGTATGCAGGTGCTGCTATAAGCATGCACATTGAAGGTGTCTTAGGATTATCTACACAAGTATATCCTTTTCTTACATGTAGATATCCTAAGTATTGTCGTAAAATCAAAGGATGTCCTTTTCTTACATGTAGATATCCTAAGGATTGTCGTAAAATCAAAGGATGACCTTTTCTTACATGTAGATATCCTAAGAATTGTCGTAAAATCAAAGGTTGTCCTTTTCTTACATGTAGATATCCTAAGTATTTTCGTAAAATCAAAGGATGTCCTTTTCGTACATGTTGATATCCTTAGTATTGTCGTAAAACCAAATGATTTCCTTTTCTTACATGTAGATATCCTAAGTATTGTCGTAAAATCAAAGGGTGTCCTTTTCTTACATGTAGATATCCTAAGTGTTGTCGTAAAACCAAAGTATGTCCTTTTCTTACATGTAGATATCCTAAGTATTGTCGTAAAATCAAAATATGTCCTTTACTTACATGTAGATATCCTACATTTTTGTAAGTATTGTCGTAGAAGTAAAAATCAAAATACAAAACAAAATGTATTTATTCAGTTAAAAATGCAGTACAGTTAACTAGTCGATATTATAATACTGAAATAATATTTAGCATTAGTAAAATTATTACATGTTCAAAGACTGATTTGATAAACAGGCCCCAGTCGACTATACTGGATTTTAAAGATCTTAGACGCCAAGTTGAGACACCGACAAATCTTTTCGGTTGACTAACGTCAATAAAAAAAATTAGCATGCCGGAAAGAAACGAGTACGAAATCAAACGAGTTATAAAGGAACCTTTTTTTTAGGTATTTTATCCATTAAAGTTGAGGAGAACATATTTAATTGGCTGTTTCTTGTGTATCGTGAGCCTTGCCTTATTATCCGCACAGAAAGAAAATATATCATATTCGATTTTCGTTTCATTAGACTAGAGACCGACAAGTAGTTAAGCAGTTTTTTCTCTCAAATAAAATACTTCATATTATATTAGTTTTATATTAAAACAAAACCAAGCTCGGATTTCGATTAATATTTCTTCATAAATAACCATTGATATTAAAATTTACAATTTTAACTTAAATTTGTAAAAGTATTAGAAATGTATAATCTGAGAACAAGTTTGATAATGGAAAACGAAGGATATTGTGTGTTTTAAAATGTTCACAGCAATACATGGAGTGACACACTAGTGGCAACGAGATAATGATAAAGTTTTGTAATAAAAGAGCTTTCAGTCAGCTGTGTTGTTGAACATGGAGACGATACATATATATTTTTAATTTCAGGTTTGCTTGAAGACCAACCAAATGACCACGATACGGACGCAACATTAAAAGCCAAAACACTATATAAATCATGCCTCAACACAAGTAAGTTTTACAAAATGTGTGTATTGCTTGTACAATATGCAATGCATTAACAACATTCAAAATTTAACGAATTTTGAAATAGTATATTAAATTTTGCATCCGAAGCGCTTTTCGAAATTTACCTTCATCAGGAACGCGAACACCTAAATTGTGAAAACTTGGGATTTATAAATACTAAGAACGTTATAATCTATATCATAAAAAGGGACATGAAAGAGGGGCGGTAGGAGGGGTGCAAGCCCGAATTCCCGAAAAAAATAAAGTATTCTTTCCCAGATCTCGAAGATTTTATCATTAATTCCCGAGTCCCGATAGGTATACATCCTGAATTCTCTCTCAAAAAAAGGACCGATCCCAAATTCCCGCAAAACTAAAGGCCTAATCCCTACGCCCCTAAGAAGCTTCGTCTACCCCTCATTAAAGGAATAGCCAAATCCAAATCAAACTTAAAGTCAATCTGGTCTGAGGGAGTTGGAACCTCAGTTTCTTGATAATTTCTAAATCTACCAACGAAAAATTTAAGAAAGATATGATATAAATCATGTCGGTGACAAAGCACTCACTACTGAGCTGATCATTTGCCTGGGGAGTAGCAGTCCACCAGCAGAGGTATCGACCAAGTACTATCAAACGAAAATAACTCTTTATACATTTGTGCATCTGAAGCAGCGCTCTCAGGATTTACCTTCATCTACTTATCAATGAAAATATAACATACCAGATAAGAATGTTAATCCTTTTCCCGCCATTATATGTTTTTATCTTTAACATTATTGCTATTTATCTGTATTGGGTAATTACCCATGTTAAACCTATAATGTAGATGTAGAAATAAAGTTCACGAAATATTATTGAAATTGGTATCAAAAAGTGTATTTTCATGTATTTAGAATTTAATATAATAATGTTATTTATTCTCTTAGGTCAAATAGATAGGATTGGTGACAAGCCTTTACGGCTTGTTTTAGATAGATACGGAGGTTGGCCTGTAGCTAGTAAAAGTTGGGATCCAGACACATTTGATTTAGAATTAGTTTTAGGAAGAATAAGGAAAAGTTTTGCTAATGTTCCGAGCATAGTTGACGCATGGGTAGCTCCAGATGATAAGAACTCAACACAAAATATAATTCAGGTTTGTCAAGTAGAAAATGTATCTGGAAAGATAAAATATTAGCAGGAGGAATATCATTATCTATCTTCTGAAATAAGTCTATAATGTAATACAAGGTCAGTTTAAGAACATATGCACTGTTGGATTTTATTCAACGAACAAACAGTAAATAAAAGATAATAATCAAATATATACCGAACTGTCAGATCAGTCAGTATCAATATTAATTTATGTTGAGCCAGTACTGGCGTGAATTGGAGAAACTATTATGATACCAGACGATAAATTTTAAATGAACGAAAAAACTGATAAAATATTTTAAAATCATTTTTTTTGAAGAGCATATGTTGATCTTAAAAGAGTTTTGGTGACAAATTTGGAGAAATAGATGAATATGAGAATAAACCTCTAACCGAACACAATGACCTTTCAAAGCTAGAATTCGTGACAACAAGAGTTACAAGTTAAAAGTGTAATATGTGCATTAAGTATTTTCAATTTCAAATTCTTTTTTAATTTTGAGTCCTATGGCTCAGCAGTGTATTCAAATACAACAGCCAAGCCGTACTTTGACCTAGAATTATTTATTTACTTTTTACACATTGTGACTTGGATGGAGAGTTGTCTCATTGACACTCATACCACATCTTCTTATTTCTATTTATGGCATATTACAAAAAATAATTAATGATATGTATAAATAGTAATAGATGACGTCATGAATTTCATGTTTACAAAATATCTTTACAATAAACTGTTTCTTAATTCAAAAGAGAAATATTTATAATGTCCTAAGTTTTAAGAACATATATTTTATTTCTCAGATAGATCAACCAACACTTGGCATGCCCAGTCGGGAATATTACGTGTACGACCCAAACTCCGAGTACATTGAATCCTACTTGCGATTCATGATAAATGTTGCAATACGGTTAGGCGCAGATGAAGATACTGCAGTAAAGGAAATGCACGAGGTGTTTGATTTTGAGACCCAAATTGCAAATGTAAGTGTTAGAATGGAATCAATTGAGAACACCCAGCAATAGGTTCATTTATAACCCTATCGGAATAACTGCAATGAAAAACAAAATTGACACTAAAAACCAAAATAAGACAGGTTACATGAGCAACACGACGGGTGCAACATGTAGAGCCGGGTATGTTAACTCCGGAGCACCTTAGATCAGCCCCGATTTTTGTGATTGGGTAAAAAATGCATGCATTATGAAAGGGGATCGTAAAAAAAATTACTTTAACATTTTGATAGGGTTTATACTGAAAAAATAATGTTAATAATTTACCTGTGATCTTGTTATCTGTAATTCCTATATTAAATATACGAGTTAAGTCCTTTGTCTGTACTGGTTTTAATTGTATACAGTCATACACAAATATGTACTTTGTTTCTTTTTGTTTATTGAGATTTAATAGGGTTTTAGTTGAGATCCATAAAAATACTAGCTAGTTTTACCCTGCACCACGTTCAAAGTCTTTAGTCTCATCAGTAGTAATGTTGTATTTTTGTATATATGAATGCTTTATTTTCATTTGAGGAACTAGTAATTAATACATTAGCTTATATATATTTGTACAACATTTTAGACTCAGAAAGATGTAGAAAACTGCAGATTGTACAGACACTTCTCTATTGTGGAAAGTCGAATATTGGTTGATCTCTTGTAATTATTTGTTCTGTGTGTAAATCCTACATCACCATTTCTTCACATCATCGGAAGAAAAATCAATGTGACATCATGGTGATTCTTTTCTCAAAAACCTAAAATGAGTTGAAAAAAATGATTAAAGTGATTAATTACTGTATTCTATTTTATCGATACTAATGGAGGCTGTTCTGTTTATGTTACTGTAAAATATAAGACACCAGGAGAAGAAAGTTTGAACCTCATATACTTAGAAATACTTTACCCTTTGGATAAGTTGGATAATATCTAGCATGCTGTGAATTACGTTCACCTATTTAGTATAGTTAAAGTGTTTGACATCAACGGCAAACGTAAATTTCTTGTTGCAGTTGATGCGTTTTTAAATGTATATCAGCATAGGAAACACTCAAGAACTTATTAATCACAAGGAATATTACTGTGAGGAGGAGGCATACCCTGAATGACCTTATCTATCTTAATATGAACAAAAGCAGATATCGGAGTATATGCCAAAAGCCCATCCTCCCCCCCCCCCCCAAAAGCTAGGAGTCAAGAAAAATCGCTGAATAATTTCAATAGTTTCTATCAATATCTAAAATGACATGGGGTTTTGATTGCGAATGATTAAAATATCCACCTCAGTTTAAAGCTAAGAACAAACTAAGATATCAATTATAGTGAAAGATCACCACATCACCTTCAACGATGAGTAAATTTGATACCGTATAAACTGCCTGAACAATTATAAAAATCCTGATAATTACCTTTGCTTTCATTTCAGATCACTAAGCCTCTAAATGAGAGACATGACACTGGAGCAATATATAAAAAGCTTACCCTTAAAGATCTTATACAGCTTGTTCCAAAAGTAAGTACTACTAAACAAACAAAAAAGTTCTCATCATTGTGATCAGTTGCTCAAATAGCATGAACATGTTAAGATGAAAATATTGATCAATATTAATGACATGAAAAATCACAATATCACGATTACAGAAAAAAACATCTGAAGAAAAATCTTTCTGCTCTAGAAAAAAATCATTAAACTTTCATAGTTTTAGGTAGGACAAAACTTATGTCCTGTAAATATTGTCATATATAATATCCATATAGTTTTTGTCTTAATATATTATAGACTAAAATGTTATTTGGGCTCAAATGAATTGAATCTGTTATGTCCATTTCCCCGTTGGTTTCAATTGCATTTAGTAGAACGGCTATTGTATACTATTTGGCATCGAGGCTTTGCCTTTGCAACATTTATGCATGGACATTTTTATTTTGTAAAATTAATAAAGTGCGTAATACAACCTAACGAATCTTTTAGATTTAAGCTTCAATTTGTTCAATTTAGAACATATATATGAAGAAGGCAGATTCCTTAACAGTTTATTGTTTTCACCTTTAAGATGACAATAATAGTAATAATAATATCATAAAAGATACAATAAATTGTAGTCGTGTCGATTTGGGTGGTCCGCCGAACTGTGAAACCTTCAACATCTTGGTGTCCACACAATGGAGGTCAATAAAATACTTTCCGATTAGTCATTATTTTTCGGAATTTTTCCTTAAACATCACAATTGATCATGCGATGTCCTACAAATTTGGATCCGAGGAGCATACACTTATCAGCAAATTTGTATAATTGTTATCCGATTAACTAATTAAAAGAAACATTCGGTACCTTGTAAGGAAGCATCAGCGTCATAACAAACACTATTAAATGGAGAATGTGTCCTTGGGACACAGATGATGCCCCCTCTTGCATATAACGTTATGAAGGGACATAACTCAAGAACGGTAAAAGTGACTCCACTCAAATTCGTACTTGATCTGAGTTTTGTGGTAATAAGCATTGTGTATAAGTTTCATAACATTTAGTTGAGGAAAACTGAAGTTAGAGAACGGAAACGAAAAATTCAGCATTTTTTTCAATTTTTTAAAGGGGCATAACTCTAGTCCGCTAAAAGTGACTCCACCCAAATTAAAATTTGAACTGTTTTTTGTGGTAATAGGCATTTTGTATAAGTTTCATAACATTTGGTTGAGGCAAACTAAAGTTAAAAAACGGTACGTACGTACGGACGGACGGACGTACAGACGGACAAGGGTAACCCTTAATGCCCCTCCGCTGCGGCGGGGGCATAATAAAAACACAAATATACATTGTAGCAAAATATTTTTTACGAATTTATAATGGTTTCTATGCGATACTTTTTGTACATGTGCATAATGGCTAGGTACATGTCAACATATTCTCAGATAATCCCATTCATTTATTTTTTCTCTCATTAAAGAGGTTTTTAAGTATATTTTAATTCTGCAGTATTACCATTTGATTTTGTTTCACTCTTATTTTAATATCCAAAACTAACATGCACATATTCACTAGCCGCAACGGTATATTTTCAGTTTGACTGGATGAAATTCTTTTCAGCCTCTATACCTGTTCCTATTGATGAAACAGAAGAAATGGTCACCTATTCTCCAGAATATTTGGTTCATATGACAGAAATATTGGAGAAGGCTGATAAAAGGTAATAAAAAAAACCCCACATAAACAGATGTATGACAATATTTTCGTCATTTCAAGTGTTTAATTAGAAATGTATGGGATGAATTGAATGTTCAAAACGACGAAAAAAATAGCAGAATTAATATAAGAATTGTAAAGTATTTTGTCAGCAGTGAAAATGAAATATATGTAATAAACAAACTTTGATATATAAAGCGGTTGTTGGAAAATAAGGTGTAACGCATTAGAGAAAAAAAAATAAGAGAGATTGCAATTAGAAAAAAGTTAGAAGCATATAATTATCCTTTATAAAGAGAATTAAATCATATGAAATATTTCAGGGTGATAGCGAATTATGTTATATGGAGACTTGTTATGTCTTTTGTCCCCGAAATGACTGGTGTTTATTCAACAATCAGAAGTGATTACAATAAAATACTGCTGGTAAAGTATATTGTTTCATTAAACGAAAAAGACTCAAATGATTAGTAACATTCATACATATGTAAGTCATATGCTATTAAATCCATGTCATAATCATGTTAATTATTTACTTTCTATATTAAAATAAATTCCATTATACAGAAAAATGGGAGACGATACCAAGGGTCAATCAAAAACCATAAGTTGGATAAAAACTGACACAACCATACAGCAAAAGAAATACGACGAATTGAAAAACAACGGTTTACAATAACTACTCAGAAAATTAAAGATTAAGCAATACTCACCAAATATATACCATGGGAAGTACGGAAGGATAAGGTGTTGCTGCTCCACTGGTGTCACCCCTTCCGGAAGGATAAGACATTACTGTTCCCTGGTATCACCCCTTGTGTTGCTCATTTCAAATGATAAGTTATGTAACATTCGAGATAAAAAAGAAGATTTTGTGACTAGGACAAATTGAACATGTCAGTGATCATCTGTGACACAATAATTCAGTAACGGTCAACCAAATCATGCCAGCGCCCTTAAACTTTGAAAGGGATGCCCACAACTTTATTATAAGTACCTATTTGAATTAAGTTCCATGTTTCATCAACTAATCAATTTAAACACATGATTGAAAAAAAAAAAAAAAAAAAAAAAAAAAAAAACAGGTTGTTTATGCACTTCAAAATGTATTGCAACAAATAGGAACGCAACATCCTTGAAAAACCTAAAATCAATTGTCAATTATTATTTGGAGTGCTGTTAATGATACTAGACAATTTATCGATGTATGTTAACTTTGTGTTATTTCTAATTTTCCAATTAAACATTGAAATTTAATAGACGTTCAATTGATATACACATACACTTCACATAAGCCAAGAGTCAGAATTTTAAACACGATGTGATGTAGTTTATTATCTGTTCTGGTATATTCCAACACGTATGACTTAAATAAACATGCTAAATTATTTCGCCTTCTTCTGTTTAATGGTTCAATAGAATAGTCATATTAGTAATGTATGGTTATAGGGTGTGACAAGAGACAAACCGCAGTGGCAGAAATGTGTCGAATATGTAAACGACAGAATGGGTATGGCATTAGGAGCACTTTTTATTCGTGACAATTTCGACGAAGAAAGTAAAGAAACGGTACGTTAATATGCACACTTTACAGAATGATGTAAACATTGAATATTGGATTAATTAGAGGCAACAGTAGTTTAACGATGTTCGAATCTTAAAAGATCAAATCAAGATTAAATAGAAAAACTGACGAAATCTCGGTACATAATTCACATTAAGTTCCAAATTTAATTTTAGAGACACTGACCTTTGGATAATAAACTATAGGTATACTCGGTCATTCATAGAAACGATAGTAATTTGAAAATATCTATTAGTAGCTCTTCTACTGTTTCGGTTCTTATACATCCTTTGCTTTCAAATATTCGTCTTTGATTGTTTCTGATGTAGATGAATCTAGAAAAGCGATTCGGACGCATGAAATTTATGTTTTATTATCATTTTTATGGTGTAAATATGTTGCATAAACGGCCGTCATTTAAAGTTGCATTCCATTTACATTCATTTGTGATTATTGATTTTTAAAACAAAAATGTAAACAACATTAAGAAGTACATGTTTGTAGAGAATAAGTATTTTAACATAAATTTTGTCTTTGGTATGATCTATCGTTTATTCTATTAACCAACATTATCCGGAAAAGTAAAACAAGCTTACTTTATCACCATTTATTTGGTAATGATTCAGAATTTTCTACCTTAATTTTGAACTAATTGAGGCATAAATGTCAAATATTTAAAAGAAGATTATTTACAATGAGAATGATAAAGGACATTAAGGAAGAAGTGTTCTTAATTTTCTGTACTTAGCGGTGTTTAAAAGATCATATTTCCTTTTAAATGCTGTAATTTCATTGTTTAATGTATATTGTGATGTAACTAAGACATTACTTTAGATTCAATCAGTATAAACAACATTAAGAATCAAATGATGTACATAAATTGTCTTTTGTTTTCTGTACTCATTAGCTATACTAAATATCTAGAAATTTCTGATGTAGATTACTGGAAAATAATCGTCTTTGCACTTTTCAGGCGCTAAAAATGATCCACAACATTCGTGATGCTTTTAACGAGTTACTTGAACAAAATCTATGGATGGATAAAGACACTAAAGAAGTCGCAAAGGAGAAGGTTTTTAAATGTTTTTTTTTATCACTTAACAGATGAAAAGAATTAATCATCTAATGTAGTTGTTAAACCGAAATGTATTTGTTTAAATAAGTGACGAAAGTAACGTTTGTTTTCTTTAATGGTGAGTGTTCTTCATCATTTAGTATTCACTCACACAACATGTTAATTGCGTAGGAGAGTTTTGTGGTTTTAGTAAACAGCCGGCCTCCAAAAATTAAATTGCTAAAAGGTAAAATAAAAAAAATACCGCAATCGAGGGAAAATTCAAAGCGGAAAGTATCTTATCAAATAGCAAAATTAAAAGCTCAAACACATCAAACAAATGGGAAACAACTGTCATATTCCTGATTTGGTAGAGGCATTTCCTTATGTAGAAAATGGCGGATTAAACATGGTTTTATAGCTAGCTAAACCTCTCACTTGTATGACAGTCGCATAAAATTCCATTATATTGACAACAATGTGTGAACCAACCAAACAGACATTATAAGTAAAAATGTCAAAAATTTGGGTACTGTAGTCAACATAATCTTAATCACTATAAAAACCAAAAATATGTCATTAAATAAAAACAAAATGGCATAAACACACTCTATAGACAAAGCTCATGAGCAAAAATGAATAACAACAATGACCACAGCACATAGATAAGCGTTCACATAAAGGACGATAAAAAAATGGCTCATTCAAATATAAAGTCGCAGAATTCGATATGTCTGAAAACTATTTGGTTGATTGAAAATAGTATTAAGGTTCCATATGTTGTCTTTAAATGTAATGCAATCCGTACAATTTATTGGGCTTTTGTTTTTGACAGTGCTTTTAAGTTTAAAAGTACATGAGAATGTTGTAACCGTTGAATTCAAAATTCTTATTACTTGATATGAAATGGTCGTGTCTATTTTTATCATGACCCCTACCCATTCCCGACAAAAGCCTCATAAAATGATACTAACCGTCCAAACCCCTCAAAAGGAAAACCAATATTCTCATTGGATACATTTGTTAACGGATCAACAGTCAATAATTACAAAAACTAGAAGAAAGAACTTAAAGGCACATGAAGTATGTATTACATTTTTAAGTATGCTTATGCAGTGAACTTTATTTTAGGCAGATTCTATGAACGAAAGAATCGGATATCCAGACTTTATTAAGATTCCAGACAAACTAAATGCCAAATATGAAGAAGTGAGTTTTGTCAATTAAGAATGCTTATAAGTATAAGAAAAGTTAATGCTCATACAATTCCACTATTTTTAAAGAATGCAATAAAATGAATATCATAAAATAACACATCTTGTAAGTCGTGAACGTATTATAATCGTACATTATATGTACATGTTTCTTATGTGTAAAAAAACCCCCGAAACTTGCAAGGTTTCGAACAAACGGTTTTAATATGTAAATATGAAATATTTGCTTGTGAACGACGAATAAACACCAATCAATCATCAGAATCATATATATGATAAGTATTTTAGAATGTAGCACAAAGTGCAACAAGAGTAAATATAATAGCATATCGCAAAGTAACAGTTAAATACATATGAAGGGAAGTTTAAAGATCTATTGCACACCTAGAAATGAAAGTGTTTGAATTTTTACGAGAGAAAATAGATTGCAAAGGTACCTGTATTTTTTCAGTTACATTTTGATGAAGATCACTATTTTGAAAATTATCTTCAAGTTGAATTATATGAGGCAAAGAAGACTTTAAAAGATCTTAGAAATCCCGTTGATAAAAATCTGTAGGTATTTATTAATATAAGTTAATATTTATGCACTGTAGTAGTAATGAAAATTCTAATTACAATGTAACTGGTAGTCGTTTTATTTGCAAATTATCAATGAATTACGTTCGTTTAAACATTATAATATCATTACAACATATGCTGAATCCAAACAGGTGCAGAATCCATAGTTGATGAATGATTTGTCCTTAGAGTACTTTTATATTGCATATAAAGAATAAAACTAAATCTTGGTTAAAGTCAATGAAACATTATGCAAACAACATACGTGTGAATAATATTTAACATACATTCCGTCTGAATGGTATGTATGCAATTTATTTAATGATTACATAACCTTCGGAAACATATGCAAATATTTGAATTGTACTTGCATTTTCTTCAGATGGGATCAAGATCCTGCAGTTGCAAATGCTTTTTATAACCCGAATACAAATGATATTGGTAAGATGGATAATAATGTTTTACTGTTTTGTCTAAACTTTATCATTTTGACCTTATATATCGTCGCTGAAATGACTACGGTATATTCTATTGAAACTAATCTATAAAGCAATATTAAGTATACCTTATGAAGTCATTGGTTTTATTTACAAATGTACTTGGTCTGAAAGAATCATAAAACAATAGATGAATTATATTTTCATTTAAGTCATAATAAATAGCTTGAAATGTATTGAGAGTTATTTATAAAACAATTTAATCTTTTTAAGTTTAAATTAATTTCACAAATTATCCTATGCTAGTTTACAATTTTCCTCGAAGTATGCTTCACGTGAAATCATGTTTGAATAATACATTCAGTATTGTTCTCATTTAAACATAATACCTACATGTAATCTTATGTTATATTTTCTCCCTTTATTTTTAGTTTTTCCTGCTGGAATTCTGCAACCACCTTTCTACAGTGCACGATTTCCCAAGTAAGTTCAAGCTTGTACCGTACGAGATTTACAGACATCGTGATATCAAAGTGCTTTGCATTGTATTCAGTATCGGTTTGGCATTTTTTTCGTAATCGTATCTTAAATGATCTAGTAAAGCACCAGGTAAAGGAAAATGTTTTTTTGGAGTTCGGTATTTTTGATATTTTACTTTTTGTGGTAGGTTGTCATTTTGATGCGGACGTATTATCTTGCTACGGTGAAACTTAGGTAATCAAGACATTGGATCAATTTAGAAAAGTCAGGATGTTTAATTAAATATGACAGTCATTGAATAATGTAGATACAACCAGTTTGAAATAGGTACAGAACTAAATAAACTGCAATATGTAGATCAAAATATTACACATTCAAACAATAAAGTAAACCTGAAACATATTCATTCATAAATGCAAGTTAGATTGAATAAATTCATACAGAAGAAAAAACTAACTTAGAACATCTAGCACCAGAAGATATTATCAAAGCAGTTTATACGCATGTTAAACTTGTTACTATATGAACAGGTCAGCATATTAAATATATGCACTGCTCGTTTGATATTCCCTGTTAAATATATTCGTCTTCATTGATAGACATATGTATTCTTCATAGATAAACAATAATTGAAATGCTATATTACGCCAACAGGTCACTTAATTTTGGAGGAATCGGAGTTGTTATTGGCCATGAAATAACACATGGATTTGATGATAAAGGTAAATAAAATATTCACATGTTTAATCAATTGTAATGAAATGGTTGTTGGTTTAATAGAGCAGAATAAAGATATTTCATACACTCATGATCTCAAATGTATTTATCATAAAATCACAGAACAGCTTGTTTAGAAAAAAACATGTTATTTGAAAAATTTTCATTCATGAAGGATTTAGTTAATAGAAGAATGGTAACATTGCTTTAAATTGTTCAAACACACATTTTCAACGTAGTATCTAAAGGTAGCGTTCAAATTCTTCGATATGACATTCTTACAAGAACGCTTAAAAATGAAGAACTAACGTTGTTATTAGATTAGACGTACTTAAAATAGAAGGAGTTGAACACGAATATTGATAATTGCACCTGCAAGCTTCAGTAATATTATATACTTTGGGGGAAAATAATCCCTAATATCATTGCAATAACCAAATAAAGGTGAAAACATATTTTATTTGTGTTCTTTTTTAACAATCGTATGTTGAATTATATTTATTATACCACTATGTTCAGAGGAATCCAAAAGCTAGTCATTTTAATATGATATTTAGCGCACATGGCTTAACGGCCCAATGGAGATATTCTCATAACTTGGCGTCCGTTGTCTGTTACCTTTTACAAAAAATCTTCTCTTGTGAAACTACTGGGTCAATTGGATCCAAACTTGTCTTCAATAATCCTTAAAGTATTTGGTTTAAAAATATATATTTTAAAATTGTTATAGATAGGACAAATCTGCAAGGGATTCTTACTTTGGAAAACGACTGATGCCTGAATTCACCATTTTTTGCTAACTATAAAACTTTAACAGAGAGAGAAAAACTTTTATTGCAAAACATGATTATCAGAACGAGATCTACAAATTCGTCAACATAGTCGAAATTGTTAGCCCACTCATTATAGGAGTTGTTTCCGAAAAAGAGAGGCGAAAGATACCAAAGGGACATTCAAACTCGTTACTCAAAAATATGGGAATGCCGATTGTTTGTTGAAAAACACGTCCTTGAAACGTAACAAATATATTGTCAACCAAGAAATCAAGCATAATGTCAGTTTCAGAGAATTTTTTGTTTCAATCAGAGTGATTTTTTACAAAGCATGATTTATCCCTCCTTGAGCCAAGATACTTGTATCTACGTTGTCCATTCGTTTTGATGAATCAAAGCAGGACCAACTCTTTCAATTTGTTTTAAAAAAATGTTTTAATACTTTTGCAAGATGAAAGAGACTTAGATTGTACATACTCTTAAAGATCTTTGGATTTTTTAGTATTCACATCTGATTAACGCCACCTGTTGAATAGGTAGTTCCACAATAAGTTTGAATCCTGGCTTTGATTGCTGATAAAATTGATGTTAATAATTTAGAAAAAGGTTTCATGGAGCACTTGGAAGACCCAGCAATATAAAGTTGTTTGTAAGAACACTTATGTAATTTGGGTATCCAATACAGTAAAGGAAGATCCAGTTCTTCATCTTTGGATGAAATTCCAAAGAAACATAGACCAGATCTATGATTATCCCGGATTTCCTCCTTGGTAAGTGTCGTGGGTGTATATTTTTAGTTTCCAAGTGAATTGTCAATACCTAATTCATTTATCAAACAGTTTATGTAATGTGATTTACACACAAAAACGATGATGTTTGGGTCTTTATCTGCGGGGACAACAACATATTTGTCATGGAGGTAGGACAGATTAAATTTCCAACATGGGATATTTAAAGATGGATGTAGCATAGGTATTCATAGACCTATTCAGTTTTTTTAATTTTGACACAATAAGTACAGTGTTGTGCTCATAGAACTTGATATAATGTTTAGTTTATGCCTGAAGAAAATGGAAAAAGTTTTTTTTTAACACTCAGTTTTTATTGTTATAATATTGTTAAAAGAACAAGCATAAAAACTGTCAACCATTCTTGTATATGTCCATTCGCATCTTTTAATCTCGGTAAGTACATATACAAAATTTCAATAAAAAAAGATACAGAAAAATGCAATCGCAAGAATACAAATTTCTGATATGCACTCATCACGCAGTCCTACATATACAAAAATAATTATGCACGACCGTTAGTTGACCTTTAGATGTGTTTTCGGGTTTATTGTATTGTTGCGTTGCCATTATATTAATGTACAACTGACATCTTCATTAAATCATATGTATTAAATAATGGCCAATGTTTGTAACCTGTCTATTCTGCGGTCGATACTCCAAGGATCTCACAGGTCAACAACAATGACATTGACTCTAGCAAAACAATTAACCAAATGTGCTTTGTTCCATAAGCATGTTTGGTTTTACATTCATCGGGAACTCTCTTACTTATGCACAACAAAATCAAAATATGGTAATCAGTTCATGATTATTAATATATCCTTATTTGTCCAAAAATTCGGTTGCAACAACTTCAAGGTTCATCTTGAAGTTTTATTGTGATTGGAACATAATTTTAATGAACAAGAAAAACATCAAATTTGTTTCCTCTTGCTTTCATAATGTAATTCTAGGTCGTCTGGACGAAATGTATTTCAATTAACGTTATTGTACCAGCATAATAAAGTTGTTTTATAATACTTTTAAAGTGCACATACGGGTTACCTTTTTGTAATACCATCTTATTTACTTCCTATCTGAAACTATCAACATAACCAATTACTTGTTTGAAAGGAAATGGTTCTGTTTAAATTAGGTAGTTTGTCTAATTTAAAGAAATCGTCCTTGCAGATAGTATCTATCTAATTAACTTATTTGAACGTTATTCTTTTGATTCAATGACACGTCCTTCTTGTTATGTTTTGTTATGACCCTGGAATGGCAAGATTCATCCGATGATAATGGGACCTTGGACTTGCAACATATTTTTCTCTTGTGTAAGCTTAGCACTTTATATCCAGGAAAAATATATGATGTCTGTATGGCTGAAATAAAGCATTACAGAATTCATTAAATAGTTTTTATTTGTATAATGGTTCTACAACTAATTAGAATAATTGATTATTGTTGTATATAATTTGTTTAATGTTGAACAGTGCAACATCAAAAACAAATTGTTTGTTCGAAAACCAGTCTTGTTTAAAATTCCATCCAACAACTTTCTACGAGTAAAGACAAATACAATATACACTGAATATCTTTGCTACTTCAAGTTAAAACATTAAAATTGTTAAGATTAATGTTTTGCCGACTTTTGGAAAGGTACATATATTTTTTAATGATATATAAAAAAAAAAAACAAAAAAACATAGAGCCCCTTCCCTGCATCATTATTTCCAAAAATATCACCGGATTGTGGTTTCGTACACGACAACCTTTTAACTCTTTTCCGATAATATATATATATATATATATATATATATATATATATATATATATATATAAGGTCTGAATTGAAAACAACGTTCAAACCTATGATTGCGTTGGATAAAAACCGCAATATTTATACGTGTGCATGCAAAACAAATTTCTTGGTAGTGGGGTCTAAATACAGCACAAACAACATTTTCCAAAAGACCATAAAAGTGAAAAAGTATATTTTAACAAAACGCATTTGACTAGCAGGTCGAACAGCTGATGTTCTTAAACCCTGCTGACTGCCATTGGCGATTGCCAAATAAACGGATCACAAGATGTAACAAAATGGATCTTATAATTAATTTATTACTTATCAGAAAACAATAAACTTGCGGAAAAGATGGTATACCGCAAACATGAGGTGCAAAAATTTGTAAACCATATCCGGATTTCGACAATTAATGTCTCTTCAGTGATGTTAGGAATCGAAACGGTATTTGGAAGGCCATATAATTTACCTCAATTTATGATAGACTCTTGAATTTTGAAAGAGTCGAAATAGGATGAACAGATCATATAAACCCGAAGGCAAATATAATACAAGCCCAAACGAAAAAATAAAAGAAAGACTAAATTGAAAACAACGTTCGAACCTATAATTGCGTTGGATAAAAACCGCAATTTTTATACGTGTGCATGCAAAACAAATTTCCTGGTAGAGGGGTCTAAATACAGCACAAACAACATTTTCTCAAAGACCATAAAAGTGAAAAAGTATATTTTAACAAAACGCATTTGACTAGCAGGTCGAACAACTGATATATATACAAATAAGCATTAAATAGTCGTTCCTCATGTAAGTCGTCCTTTATAAATACAATATGCTATTCATACAAAATTCACATAGAGCTGTTGAAACATTTGAATGGGCTTCAAAAATATTGTGATGAGATATATTCTACCAGTGGTGTTAACCAGATGTGGATTCTCAAAAATTCGAAAGATCTACTGCTTAATCTTCAATCACAATCTTTGCAATTTTGCAGCAACATAAAGACTTTTGATTTTTCTACGCTTTTCACTACTATTCCCCATGCTCAGTTGAAATATCGACTTCAACATCTCATTAAACAGAGCTTTTTCTATAAAAATGGGAATCGTAGATACAAATTTCTTGTTTTGGGTTACAATAATTCATATTTTGTGAAAAACCACACTGAATCTACCAGAAAATATACTGAAGATGATATAATCAAAATGCTGGACTTTTTGATCGACAATATATTTGTTGAGTTTGGAGGATTTATATTTCAACAGACAGTATGAAGCAGAATTCATTCAGAACCTTCTTAAAGACAAAAAGAAAAAGCACCTTGCGAAATTCTTTAATTTTACTTTCCGATATATTGATGATGTTCTATCATTGAATAACCCATATTTCAGCCAATACTTACATCTCATATATCCCAGTGAACTTGAAATTAAGGATACTACTGATACTAGAAGGACTGCTTCATACCTTGATATTTTCCTCAATATTGACACAGATGGACGATTTCACACGAAAATCTTTGATAAACGGGACGATTTCAACTTCCCAATTATCAATTTCCCATTTCTCAGCAGTAACATACCCTCTGCCCCTTCGTATGGTGTTTACATATCTCAATTTATACGTTATTCTCGTGCTTGTCCATACTATACGGACTTCATATACAGGAGTGTGCTCCTTACGCAGAAACTGCTCCAACAAAGTTATGAGGAGGACAGATTAAAAATGACACTCCGTAAATTTTACGGACACCATCACGAATTGGTTCATCCATACGATGTGTCTTTGTCCAATCTAACTAAAGACATTTTTACCACGTGTTAAATTGTGGTTTGTCATTACGGCGTCTGATCTTTTAATTACCGAACGTGACTTATTCCCGATTGTGACTGTTTTGCTGAGTGTGAAACCGCATTGCTATAAGACGTGTCACGGTACTTTTCTATCCCAAATTCATGTATTTAATTTCGATGTTATATTTGCTATTCTCGTCGGATTTTGTCAAATGTCTTAACGTCTTTTCTGTTGTATTCGTGTGTTATGGTAAAGATAATTAATCACCCCCTTCATTTATTAGATTTTAGTTTGGTTCAACGAAATTTATACGATATATTTGGTTTACAGTTTGATTCAGAAGAAACACCGACATAGCTAGATAATACAATTAATTATCTAATTACTACCACAATTTGATATTAATAAGTATTGTAATTTTCATTGTTATTAATAAATGTAATGTCAGTATTACAAATCTAATCTTGAATCAATCCTAATCCTATCTTATTTTTGGGAAATATTTTTACAAATTCAAATGTGACGTCACTTTGTGTGTTTTTTCAGAATTTCAAATGTGACGTCACTTTGTGCGTTGAGGCTTTGGCTAACTCGGCTGTGTATTTTTATGTGTTGGATAACGTTGTTTTATGTAATGTATCTGTTTTTATTCTGTAGTTAGTCCCCACTTCGGTTTTATCATGTATATCTATTATATAGTCATTTTATAAAATTTACTGTTTGCAAAATTATAAATTATTCTAAATAATAAGGATGTTCTTGTCCCAGGCAGAAAACCCTGGCCGTGTTAGGCGCAACTTTTTGGAAGATTTGGTCCTCGGTGCTCTTCAGCTTTGTACTTGTTTTGGCTTTCAAACTTTTTTCATCTGAGCGTCACTGGTTGGTCTTGTTTGGACGAGACGCACGTCTGGCGTATTGAATTTTAAGCCTAGTACCATTTGTTAGCTATTATTCGTGTGTTTCTTTGTCCTATATGTTCTCCCATTTATTTATATTGTGGTCTTGTCATGTGATGTTGTCGTTTTGGTGTTGTGTTTGACGTTGCCATAAAAGCGGGAGGTTTGGAATGCCACAACACCAGGTTCAACCCACCATTTTTTTCTTAAAATGTCCTGTACCAAGTCAGGAAAATGGCCATTGTTATATTATAGTTCGTTTCTGTGTGTGTTACATTTTGGTGTTGTGTTTTTGTTGTGTCGTTGTTCTCCTTTTATATTTGATGCGTTTCCCTCGGTTTTAGTTTGTGGCCCGGATTTGTTTTTATCTCTATCGATTTGTGAGTTTCGAACAGCGGTACACTACTGTTGCCTTTATTGATAAAATTTCAGAACATGTTTTTCCGGAAGAAGCTGAATCAGATACGCCTTTGACCAATAGTTTGTTGAGCAAACCCAAAACCCGGTTGAAAGCATTAACTGCTTATCGGTCCTGATTGAAATAGGCATATTGTTCAAAGGCAGTTTTGCTTAATGTAGATGCAGACATTGTTTGAGCATGATTACATAGTTTAATGAGCTACAAATCAACAAACAAAACCCCTCTGCACTAGTTACAGGACAAATTGTGTCGATGTGGACTAATCGTAAAGCAGCACAAGAAACGACCGAATGATAATAAAATTAAAGGAGTAGGGCCAGGTAGGCCTAAGTATGGCTCTAAAATTTGACTTTGTAATATCATATAATGGAAACCATGTTTAATGATTTAAAATATTCAACGTTTAATAAACTACTATTTATTTTACATTTTTTATCCAGTCTGTCTATCTTAATGCATTTATAAGGTCTATTTAATTTTGAGAAACATTTTTTCACATCATTCGACCAAAATACTTATTCTATAAAATGAAGTTAAATGTCATGGTAATGTTTGGCCAATATTGACCCTCCGTGTACCTACTAATTTGTTAAGGTATACGAAGCAAATAGAAGGAAATAAAAAGTGTCTCTAAAAGAGAAAAAACCAGGTAATTTGATCTTTTAAAACGACAAAACAGCAAACATTGCACTGGAAAATGAAAAATAGAAAGAACAGAACTGTTCCTGTTTACAGATGTTTCCAAACATTTCCTTGGCATTCTCATTTTTCAATTTATATAATTAAGAAGTATTTTAAGTGGAAATAAGTTAACGAAAATAGTGGGTCAGGAGGAATAACTAAGTTTTATTTATTAAATGTGTTATTTCAACTTCTGTTTAAATCTGGGATCTGGTTTACATTATAGCAAAGATGGATATACCTTTAGTTTTCTCTTTTGAACTTTCACATTTCGTCATAAAGGGAACTTTTATATGTTACAATTATCAGATGATCATGGTCTATCTCCTACGGGACTTTCTGCAAAAAAGGAGTAATTGACCCTACAATTTTTATTTATAGCAAATTTCGCTGTTTTGTGCTTACATCTTAAAAGCTAAAGCTGTTGGAGTTTACTATATTGAATAGGTTTTGCTCATGGTTTAAAGCCACACAGTGCCTTATAGTTGTTTAAATAATTATCATAATTTACACTTTCATAGGTCGACAATATGATAAGGAAGGTAATATGAAACAGTGGTGGAAAAATGAAACAATAGAAGCATTCCGACACCGAGCACAGTGCATCATTGATCAGTATTCAGGATATAAGTTAGAGCAAATTGGTCTTAACGTAAGTAGTCATTGTTGAATACGTATATCTGTGTAAATGAATAGAGCACACTTAAACAAAAAATCTGTCAAATATAATGTTATATACACAAAGAGAAACGTCATTGCACTGACGGCTAATTCAATGAATGTATACGTATAGACTCTTGTTGAATACGTATATCTGTGTAAATGAATAGAGCACACTTAAACAAAAAATCTGTCAAATATAATGTTATATACACAAAGGGAAACGTCATTGCACTGACGGCTAATTCAATGAATGTATACGTATAGACAGCCTTTGGAAAAAAGTTACACAATGTTATTGACGTCTTAACTAAATTCTTCACAAACATAATGTGACGTAGTCATGTTTTGTGGTAAAAGGAACACAACTCAAATATAAAAAGGTGATAATATGATAATTTCATAAGATTTTACCCTTCTGTGAGTAAGTCCGATACACTTAGTTGGATTTTTATTTTCTAATCGATCAGTGTTTCGTCTTAAAAATAAATGATTCATGCTTCAGTAAGAAACAGTAAGTACCACTTTCAATTCGTTCATTTAACCGATCAGGGTACACGCCACAATGAGATTAATGAGTTGGTCTTGATACTATGGATCACTGTTTGTATTGAGTTCGCCTCTTTGAAATTAAAAAAAAATCATTGCAAAATCTTTTTCTTTTCATCGTTTTCCAGATTAGGTGTATATTAAAGAATCGGGATATCCCACTAGAGGATGTCCGACACTGTTGAGTTTGGATCGTGTTTCTAAATCTATAGTTTTCTGCGTAATGTTTTATGGATAATGTTGTTTTTTTAGTTTTTACTCTAGTCATTGTGTTTTCTGTAGTTGGCTATTCGATAGAGTCTTTTGAATCTACTTACTGCTTTCTCTATTTTTAGATTGATGGTAGAAACACCCAGGGAGAAAATATTGCTGACAACGGAGGATTAAAGCAGGCATATCGGGTAATACTTCTAAGTATTTCTATGCTTTAACCAATACATGTTTTATATTTTTGATTAATGAATGATACACTAAAAATGCAGAAAACGTTACTTCACTACGTAAAAATGAGGCGAAAGATACCAAAGGGATATTCAAACACATGGGTCGAAAATAAACTGACAACTTCACGGCAAATAGAGAAAAAGATAAACAAACAAACAACAGTACATAAAACACAACATAAAATACTAAAGGCTTAGCAACACGAACCCAACCAACAAACGGGGGTGATATCACGTGCTCCGGATGGGTAAGTAGATCCTGATCTACATGTGGCTCCCGTCGTGTTGCTCATGTAAGTACCAACCTTTTAATAAGTCTTATTCGGTAGGTCACATTCGGAATTGTGGTTACGACAGATATTCCATAACGGTCAACCAACCGTGATGGCGTCCGTAAATGTTTCGAAGATTTCCACTTCACCACTGGGAACTCATGGTTTATTAGCTTTCTTATTAAAGTTTGTAATTGAAATAAATGGTGATAGGGTCCGGTTGCAATAAAACATGTATTAATTACTTTTTTGATATATTATCTCCTCATTAATTTGAAAATGAATGCAGTTATGATTTCTTAAAAGAAGTTTTAAACGCACAAATTTTAACATGTATGTAACTTTTTTTTTTTGCAAAACTTTTTTTCAGTTACCAGCCTTAGAACTAAGTTGGTATTTTAGGAAATGGGAAATATTAAGAAAACGTCTTCTACAATATTACCAATGCTGAATATCTTCCAATATTTATTTATAAAATTGATCACTATAACATTAGTGTTTGTATCGTAAAGTCTCATTTGTTAAATCTTTTTTATTCTATTTCTAATAACATTTTAACAAAGTTATGAAACTGCAAACCAGACCATTTTTATCAGATTGCGTTGCTACTTTTAACTCAAATCGTTTTTACAGTATATAACACAAATAAAGGGAGAGTAAAATCAGAGGCGGAAAATACTTATGTAGTAAAATCTTTAAAAATATATATTTATACAGGCATACAGAAAATGGGTTAAAGCAAATGGTGAAGACTCTATTTTACCTGGACTTGACTTATCTCATGACCAGTTGTTCTTCTTAAATTACGCACAGGTAGGCTAAAACAATATGAACTTCCATTGTATTATGAACTGATCAGCTTGCCTATTAACATACATTTTAACAGAAATGCCTTGCAAGGTTATAATTTCCTTGATCCTAAGAACAAAAAGTGTAAATCTCATTATATAATGGCTGCCAACTGGACAGCGGAAATATCCAATGCATTCTCTGGAAGAGAACAAATTTAACAAATCACTAGAAATGTTTGCAGAATAGAAAGATTTACATTACGTACGGGTTATTTGGAAGGTAAAAAGAATGAAAACGTAAGGGTTACGGGAATAGTATATTATACTAAGGCTTTTATACCTCAGAAATAGATTGACTTAGCTGTCTTTGGCAAAACTTTTAGGAATTTGTGGTCCTCAATGCTCTTCAACTTAGTACTTTATTTTGGCCTTTTTAACTTTAGGATTCTAGCGTCAATGATGAGTCTTTTGTTGACGACAAGCGCGTCTGGCGTGCAAAACTTAAACTCTGGTATCTATGATGAGTTTATTTATATATAGATTTCGTAAGGGCAGATAATTACCGCTATAATAGTTCATTTACAGGCGCCTTAAACATGTTGTCGTTTCTATAATATACAAAATGCAGGACAGTTTTATACAAGAGACATCTGATGTAAAATCTATTTTCCAACCAACGTGGCGGCTAATATTATCCGCGTACAACAGAACCATATGTATATTTCAGATATGGTGTGGGAACATGAGGGATGAGGAAGCCCTTCAAAAAATTAGGACATCAGTGCATAGTCCAGGATCTATTCGGTATGGTGTAACTTACATTGAAGTTTCTAATTTTGGTAATATATGTAAAAAAAAATTGAAAACTAAAAAAACATCGAATTCCTTTATATCTAGTAGATATGAACTGAACACCTTTATGACCGATTGTTTGTTTTGATTGAACAAATATCCGGTTTTCACAGTTTATATTTTATAGAATATTAAGGATACGTCCTGAAAGAAGATTTCAATGAAAGAGGCCTCAGGTTTTTGCAGATAATGGTTTAGAAACTTTACATGTTTACTCAGCTGCATTTGATATCACATAAAACAATGGCAAATTTCTACAAAAAGAATTTTGCCAACCGATATATTTGCCTGGCATATGGGGCTTTTAATTCTATCACTGGAAATAGAGTCTACCATTCCAAACTGTCGATATCGAAAGGAAGGGTTATTGGCAAATCAATCACTGGCGCAGTTGAATGATCTAAATGAAAATTTTAAATAATTTATTCTAAATAAACGGTATAACGGAAACGATGAAATAAGAACAATATACAACCAATTAAAACTTTCAGATTTTAAAGCTAATGTGGTCAATTTGAGTTGTTGTACATGTATTGCTGTCTTATTGATGTCTTCTCAATATGTTTCTGTGTTAACTAAGTAAAATGTTTTAAGGTTAATGTTGATTAAGGATGTTCGCTCCTATTGTTAAAAATAACAAGCTTTTTATAAGACTAAAAAAGTAGTATGTAAATAACAGAACATGTCCGTGTCATTGATTTTGAGAGACACAAAATGTATAACCAATTGAAATTTGTCGGTAAATGATTCTCCTTAGATTTTTCTTACATTTAACCTTGGCACCTTTTTTCTTTCAAAACATTAAAAAATTACAAGGATTTTTTAAGATTTTCAAAAATGTCTTTTTAAACTACAAAATTATGTAATAAAGTTATGAAAAGAACATAAGGGCTTAGCAGGCACAATTTTGATGGCAGTACATTGATGAAACTAGTGGTTTCTCAATATCTGACAAAAAATCAAAAACAAGAGAAGTAAATATACGTAAATGTGGGTTGATAGTGGTGTTATCATAGTAATATTAAACTGTACTCTCAGATTTTGATACTTGTAATTGAATTTGTTAATTGATGTTGAACTTTTTCAACCTGATGTTTACATTTTTTAGATGAACAGGGAACATACATAGTCATTTTTGTATTTTTCAGAGTGCTTGGTCCATTGTCTAATTCTGTTGACTTTTCCAAAGCATACAACTGTCCAATTGGAAGCAGAATGAACCCTGTAAAGAAATGCTCAGTTTGGTGATCATTCCACAGAATTCCACATCTGACTATGCACCCAAAAACCAGAAAAGCCAGTCAAAATATTTATATACATTTATGATCCGACTGTTCTTAACTGGAAGTGGATGAGAAGGCACTATAAAACGCATATACGCTCTTCATACAGTCTTGATGTACAAATAATTTTGAAGAAAATTTACTGACATTAGAAGTGATGATGTTAAAAGATATTCCTGGCTGTATTATGCATAACGAATCTCAGCTGCAGTTCGATTACACAACAGCGTTATTTTATATACCGATATAAACCTGTAATAAATGTTTTAAATTACCTCGATATGTTTTATGTACGTTTTTTTTATTACAACGTATATATTTATTCAATTGTGCTAGAATACTTAGATACATGAGATATGTATTAACGGGTTTGAAACAGTAAATACAAAAAGGATTCAAGTACTTTATCAATTTGACAAAAGCGTTCTTATGACCGGTTCTATTTTAATTGTAATTGGTGATCAACTTTCGCTTACATTTAATTTATCGCCCATCAAACGGACTGTCATCAGTCATAAAGATATCAATATTATATTGTAATGACAGCCTGTAGTATTGATATAGTTAGGCACATCTCTAAATCGCAAAAGTAAACCGATATTGATGGCTCTGAACGATTAACATGAACATGCATATATTTAGGCCAATCCTTTTATTGATTTATGTGTGCATTTTGATAATGGAACATATTGTTAACATTGTTAATATTGATATTTAAGGAGATGACTTATAATGACGAATGTACTATATTATTTGAAAATTGTTTTCATTTATCAAATTATGGTTTTACAGGATAAAACGTTTAAAAAACCAGTATGTAATAAGGAAACATCATGTATTGTATATATTTTCATTTTTGGGTTTTCATAAGCTGTAATAATGTTTTTGATATTTAATGATTTAAGCGATTATTTGTCAATTTTCAATAACACAATTTAGCTTCGTTTGATAGAAGGAAGACAACTCTAGCTTGAAAAATGTTTAATCACCTATTATAAATGCATGATAAGTTTGCTAAGTGTCATTATAAAGTTAGAAACATTTATTTTTGGATTGTATTTTGTGATGACGAACTGTTTTAAAACAGTGGTATTGATTCAGAGTTTAGAAGCTCACAATTGACTTTCAGTTTAATAAGTGATGCTTATAATTAAGCTTCAAATTTAAATTACAATAAGATTGTCCATTATATGTTATTGTCTATATTTAAAAAATGTATGACTGTTTGTGTTTCACATAAAGAGTTCAAAATACCAATGAAAATTCGTAATCCAATTAAAAGATAAACTAAATTGTACTCTTGGAAACTTAACAAAATATTCAGTGTGTCATACAAGTGAGAGGTTTAGCTAGCTATAAAACTAGATTTAATCTACCATTTCCTACATAAGGAAATGTCTGTACCAAGTCAGGAATATGACAGTTGTTTTTCATTCGTTTGATATGTTTGAACTTTTGTTTTTGCCATTTGATAAGGGACTTTCCGATTTGAATTTTCCTTGGAGTTCGGTTTTTTTGTTATTTTACTTTTTTCGTATATCATCAATTATGTACGTTCAATACTTAATGCATTATGTCACATTCTTTTGGAAGAGTATACTTTTGGTAATATGGATCTATAAACGGTTTTTGTCTTGTTTTTTAAACGTGAAAAGATACAAGTCAAACTGTATATATTTATATTTTATATGTTTTGTTGTGTAAGTACATTTTGTATGACTTTTTTATATGTGTTGTATTTCTGTAAGATTACAGATATCGTACTGTGCAGTGGAAACCAGATTTCATTTCTTATTTTGTTGGAAACACTATTAGTTGTACTACCGCAAACAAAGTGTCTAAATATTCAAAATATGTATCTTAATATTCAAAACATATACATTGAAGCCATTCGGTGACCTAAAGTTGTTAACTTCTATGTCATTTGGTCTCTAGTTGAGAGTTGTCTCATTGGCAATCATACCACATGTTCTTATTTTCATATTTGAAGGTTCCATTAAATATTATATTGGCGTTGTGCAAGAATTCTTTAACACATTAATAGTTAAATTTTGTTATCGTAGGTAAATACAGTATTGCAAGTTATAATAATCAACTACATGTTACCCTTTTATAACTTTTATAAACTATCAACCAGTTACTTATAGTGATACATTTGTAGGCCGTCTTTTATATATCATTGTTTTCTCTCTTATATTGCGTCAAATTAAGGCCATGCCAAATTCAAGGTAAGTTCATCTATTATGAATAATAAATGTTAAAAAAAAACATATTCGACAAATTTTTAAATTTAGAACACACACAAAGTAATTCGATAAGGTGTATTAGTAACATCATTGATTGCATACACCAGATACCGTCTTTCAAATCCAACGGAGCTGAACATTATTTCATATGGCCAAAGCTGCGTGTTCAATAGTTTCTCTTTATAAGATCAATTAAATAGTAAAATGTAACTACTGTGTTGATTTTTTTTCCATTTCATCTCATTATTGTTTTATGTGTGCATTTTCAAATGATCGAGACTACGAACTATTCTCTAATCCGAAGAAAATATGTATTTTCAAACTGACATCATTCAGATGCATGAGCTTTTATTATAGACAAATGCAATGTATTATGTACGTGTCCTGGACGTGTATTTGAGTCCATATACATACTAAAAACCAACTAGTCATTTTATCGCCATCCTGTTTCTAATTTATTTAGTTAGACTTGAAGGCCTACGGTTGCTTATAATTGCTTAAATCCTCTTCCTGTGAACTGGGATAGATAGTTGTCTCATCGGCATTCATATCCCATCTCTTATTTTTATATTCAAAGGAGTGCTTCTCTCGCAAATTGAAATAGAAGCTGGCATAGTTTGTAGCTTCACGTTCCGTTATATAGATAGCATCTGAGTAATTGAATTTAGTGACAAAATATCGACCACATCTATTCTATTGCACTTTGCATTAAGGAAACTGCAGATACAGGTAGGTCACAATCAAATCGTGACTTAAATTTTTAAATCAATTGTTGTGAATTTTTTCAGCCGCTCCAACATATGGAGAAGATATCTTCAAGTTGATACGATATTCAGGGCTGCCGTTTCCTATCTTTATGTCGTTAATACAAATCTTTACAGGAATGCTATTGATCAGAGGGTTCCAAATGAATAAGTTGAAGTAATTCCAACTAATGTTCAACGGACGCCATCCTGATATTGTAGACCATTATGGAGTATTTATGTCATAGATGACCACGCATATGTTCCATTTGTCGTCTCTTAAATCAGTCCTTTTTTCCTCGATTGTAATTCTACCGAATTTGAACTTTCTTTAAGTATAACGACGGGCGCCACTAGTGGAGCGTTGACTGCTTACCCTTCCAGAGAACCTGAATAAACCCCCTTTTGGTGGGTTCTGTGAAGTGTTTACATGTTTGTGACCATTGTAGGCAAACAAACGTTCCATATTTGTCATCTACAACAGGTCGCAAAAGTAAATCGTTAATAATGCAAAGTGATGAAATATCACAAATTCAAATAGAATACGAGTTTGGTAGACTCAGCTGGGGCTCTTGGTTCGTTTACGAAACCGTGCTGCTAACTAAATACGTCAATATTTATATTGATAGATGGCCACTACTTAAAATAAATATCTTTTCAAATATTTAAACCTTAAATATGCATTCACTTTTACAAATAAAAACAAATCTGCATTGTTATCAAATTCATTTCCTTAAGCTGAACTATTGTATCTTCAACTTTTCATAATATTCGTTAGTCTACAAAAAAGGCACACATGTTAAATTTAAGATGTCAAACATTGTTTACCTATTTAGGTTAAATGAGTGATGTTTATAGTGCGTCTAAAGAGTAGCATTATGTCAGAAAGGATTATTATTCCAAATACGATAGACAAAATACCAACGGCAAATCCTCCTATGGCGTTTGCAGATGGTCTAAAATCTTTGATACATATTAAAGTCCGTTTGTATGATGAAAATGTTTTCTTATCAATAGTGAGTGCTTTCTGGAGATCTTCCGCTGTTGATTTCTCAGTATTTGCTTTCGGTGTACATAATTGAGTACATTGGCAAGGCACATACGTCACATTGGCATCTGTAATCATAGTAATAAATCAAATTCTTAGACTTTTATGTTATCTATTCAAGTATTTTTAGTGTTCCGATAATGATACAATGATTTGTTTCCACTTTACGACTAATGCACGACATCAACGTTAACATCACAATTGCAAATTCTATTAACTCTTCCGGATTAGATGCAACCTTACTTGAATCACGGAGTAAAATCGATGCCATCAGTTATATAATGTCTTATAATGGATTAATTTTGAAATAAAGAATCTGTAGAATTAGTAATTAAAGACTTTTGTATTTCATGGTCACGTAATTAATTCATCAAATGAGGTTCAAATCATGATTATTGAATATAATCAAGATCTTAAAAAAACGCAAATAAATATTGAAAATTTGATAGTGTTTTGGGGAAAATTTAGTATTTGGAAAGGTCCGAACGACATTAAATTCAACAAAACAATATATAATGACACATCCATCCTTCGTATTTTTAAGAAAGATATGAATGATTTTATCAAAATGATCGCTAAATCAAACAAAAAGAACTTATTCGGAATAGACAAACTTGAACATTTATCTCAAATATTGTAATCACTATTAATAGTCGAATTTGGTATCACTTGTTTATTCTTTGCTCATTATGCAGAATTATATATATATTTATGAAAGAACCTGTCGCCGGTGTTATAGCTATATTTATCATTTGAATAAACAAAGCACACTTTCAACTAGTATATAGTTTACACCTTCATTTACAAAAAACCGCCATTATTTATATAATTTAAATTTATAGTTTATATTTAATACATAATTATTTATATTAAAAAAATAACAAAAAATATCATCATAGAAATTCAAAATTTGTGATAACGGATTAAATTCGTAGACATAGATTTTCGCAATTTGTAATAAACGATTAAATTCGTTATCATAGATTTTTATAATTTGTGAAAACGGATCAATATCGTAGACGCGCATTCGAGAAAACGTTATCATGGCTATCACAAATTTTTGAACTAGTTACAACGGATTTATAATGATAATCCGTTTCAACGATTTCCCTCATGATCACAAATTACAATAATAACGATTTCAATAGATTCATTATCAAATATAGTTCATGATAACGATTTTTAAATTGTCGAAAAGAATTACTCTTTTTGTTCTTTGCCATTGCGATGACAGTTGATATCGACGTATGAATTTTGATTGTCCTCTTGGTATCTTCCGCCTCTCTTTTATTCGATTCGTGGTCAATATTCAAGTCATTGATAACGGTTTTGTTTTCAAATTCGTGATACCAAATGTAATAGGTTATCAAAATTTAAGGCAATCTAATTCCCCCGATTCGTTATCACGCATTTATTCTTTGATAACGAATTAAGTCCATGATAACAACTTAAATTTTAATCACTGGGATCACCGTTCTAAAAATCTTGTTATTTTAATTTAAAATTGTATTTTTGGGAGATCATAAATCAGCTTCTGAACTTCTAACCTGATTAGCATAAATTATCCATACAAAACTATTGCAATACTTTCAATAACGATCAAACTTATAGACATCACTGAAGGATGATTTTTGAAATCAGAAATGAATTTAATTTCAATTTTAGAAATACTTCGTAAATAGAATTGTATAAACTCTGTTGAAATATATTTCTTTTTGTAATGTTTTAAATTGATGTTATAGATTTTGAGGAAGATTTTTCTTCATTCATTGCGCAAAATCGAAATATGTGTATTTTCTTTCACGTAGCATACATATATACCAAACTAATTCGTTTCCCCATCTAATTTGTAGCTGTAAAATAAAAGCGAAATTTATTTGAATGATATAAAATTGGTATTTCTTACAATACTATTTGGATTTCTTTTTAATTTAATCTTGTGGCTCGATAATGCGTTACAACTTATTCAATAAAAAAAATAAGTGTCCTCTTTATACTTTTGTGTAATTTATTCTACTGATAAGGTTATGTATTGCGTACCGGTTTCACCATCTTTACTTTTAGCACTTCTCAATTCCATTGTTGAGGTAACGAGGTTGTTGAGGTTCGTGTTGGTGTCTTCTATGTTTGGTTTCTGTGTGGATGTGTCGGTGGTAATGATTCCTTTTGAATATGTTTCAAAATTTAGTACGAAGTTATGATTAATTTTTCTTTATGAATGTAACGTGTTATCTTATTAAGTTAGGTTCAGCTATTTCTAAGAGCCATTTATATGATGACACATTGAACAAAAATAACGAAGAGATGTAATGGTATCATTTCGTTTTGCTACTGATGCAACATAAAAATATAAAATTCATATTGCATTGAAAACTATGCTAACATAACTGTTTTATCCCAAACATGTGATGCCCCGCATTTAACAAATCTGCACGTATTCTTATTCACATAAAAGAATTCAGATGTATTTAAACAATCACAGTATGCAGACAGTGTGTGTAAAATCAGACATGTCAGTTATATTGTAGACGAGGCGTTTAGGTGGAAAAAAATACCCCAACGTATTTAAGCATCTTACCAATAAAAATACCTTGATAATCTCTAGATAATTATTGTTATTGTTGTGTTCGTTGGTAATCAGTCTTCCAGCCAAAATTGATTTTAAATTATATGGATTGTTCATTTATCATCGAATAAGTTTTATAAGGTTTGCATTTTTCATTAACATTGTTTCGATTTTTTTTAGTATGTATACATTTGCATGTGTGACAATGCAATATTATATCATTTAAAAAGCCGTCAGTTGTTTTAAATGAACTAAAGTAGTATCAACTATAATATGATCATCCTCTTTGGGTATTGGTGTAATCACTGAAGATGATTAACATATGCTTTCTGTACTTTTTTTCAACATTTATATTCTTACCGTCTCCAGATTCCATTGTTACGGTATAATTTAGTGCTTGTGTCGTGGTTCTTTTTTCTGAGTTTGATTCTTGTGTCGTGAATCTATCTTCAGAGTTAGGTTCTTGTGTCATGGTTCTTTTTTCCGAGTCTAATATTTGTGTCGTGGTTCTTTCTTCTGAGTTCGGTCGTTCAGTCGTGCTTCTATCTTTAGAGTTTGGTTCTTGTGTCGTGATTTTTTCTTCTGAGTTTTGTTCTTGCGTTGTGCTTCTATCTTCAGAGTTTGGTTCTCGTGTCGTGATTCTTTCTTCTGTGTTTTGCCGTTGTGTCTTGCTTCTATTGTCTGAGTTTGGTTCTTGTGTCGTGTTTCTTTCTTCTGAGCTTGGTTCTTGTGTCGTTACATCTGTTATAATAACTTTTGTATTTTCATCATCACCGATGGTTGTTTTCATTATTCCATTATCAGTTATTGTACTTCCATACTCAAAGTTACCTTTAAATTGTGTATCAATTTA